CTGGCCTGCCTCAATTCCTTGCTTTGTACAACAGGTTTACTGGCTCTGCCTCAATTCCTTCCTTTGTACAACAGCAATAACAACATCCACCTCACAGAACTGTTGTGAAGGATAAGAGAGAAAGTACTCCATAAATCTTACTTCACCCACCTGTCCTCTGCCTTTCTTGGGCACCAAAGGCATTTGCACCACATAGTCAATTCAATAGCCCATCCAGTCTTATAATTCAGATTCTATGAGCATGACCCTAGTTCTTCATCTTCTACTTTAAGGTGCTGATATGGAAATGTACAGCTCTTTATACTATTACATGAGTTACTGTTATGTTTAACCAAAACAATAAACATTTCTGTATCATCCTGAGTATACAGAATCTCTAATGTTATCTCAAACACTTGTGAGTTTTTATAAATTTCTCCTCTATAAAACTACGAGGGGTCATCAAAATGTTCATGGAAAGATTCATATTATCTTTTAATTCCATGAACTTTTTGAAGTGCCCTTGTAGTACTCCTGTATAAGAGGACAGGTGATTTTATAGAGATACACATCAAAATGCTGCAGTGTGCATTGATCAGTTCTAGGATAAATATACTACAGGATTTCCCGATGCTATTAACTGTACCTTAGAGTACTGTGGTTTCCCATTTTCGTAGTGAATCTCCACATAATCAGAAGACAGCAAACCACTATAAAGGAAAGAGAATAGAGTGATTTCTGCATCTAAGACACTTGGAGGTTTAAAAATAGCTTGATAAATGGATGCGAGGGGCATGCAAACCATAAATAGCTGCAGTCTGCAGTTAGAACAAAAATAAGTTATCATCGAGAGTCTCAAACTTTACCCTGTAACAAGTCATTCCTCAGTCTGTTAAAACAGACAAGACGTAGACAATTTAAGGGTAAATTCCTTTTAAACACACCATTCAGCATCTGATTCATATGTTATTAAATATGGCACAAACTAAAAGGCAAGTAACAGGAGGAGACAGGCCCTATTAAAATCCCATAATTATGCTCCAGATCATTGGAATTTCATAAAATGTAATCACTGAGGAAGAGTACAGAACAAGTATTGGCAAGTTTTTTCTATAAAGACCAGATAGCAAATATGCTCAACCCTGCCGCGCCTCACCCAGCCAGTGAGCGGGAACCGGTCTGTGTATGGGATCCGAACCCTCAGCGGGAGCACCGCCACACTCCCAAGCGGCGCACTGTAGCAGTGCGCCACCGGGCTGGCCCCTGAAATTTGAATTTTACATAATTTGCATGTGTCATGAAATATTCTTCTTTTGATTTTTTTCAACATTTAAAAATGTAAATAAACACTCATAGCTTGCAGACTGTACAAAAACAGTGATGGCCAGATTTGGTCTGTGGGTCATAGTTTGCCAACTTCTGGCAAAAAAAAATAATGGTTCAAGAACATAGACATTACAGTCACACAGAGCAGGGTTTAAAACCCGACCCAGCCCCTTATTAGTCATGGGACAATGGGCAAGTTCCCAGACTCAAGTGTCAAACGGAGAGATGGTCGAGAGTGTTAATCTCCTAGGATATTGTGAACATTAAAGAAAACCACAAATACAAAGTACTTAGCCCAGAAATCAGCACTGAGTAAGTGCTCAGAAATGGGTACTGTGGCTATCACTATTTTTATTTTAACCCAAGTTCTTAAAACACGTTTCTCCCTATACAATGTGGGAAACACAAAATATGTGCCTCATAGAGAACACTGGACTATTAGGGCATCAGGGTTCCTTTTTGGGTTCTGGCACTGGGAATAATGATATCAAGTGATTACTTGCATTTATTGACCCCTTATTACATCCTCTCACAGTTCTAAGGGCTATAAAGGCATGGACTCATTTAATCCTAATGGTAACTGATGGACAATGGTAGGTCCTACTCTGAGCCAGTTGTCTGCCCTAAATTCAGGTCTTTATTTCCTCTTCTGCAAAATAAAGCTAGAGCAGAAGATTCTTCAGGTCCCTTTCTGCTCAGACATTCTGATTTTCTCTAATTCTGCCTCTAATTCTTGTTAGAAAATGTTGAAACTACTTCTTTAACTGAAGTACAAGAGGATTCACGATTTTGCATCATTTTGAGAACTGCATCTGATGCATTCTAAAATAACCCAGCAAGGAGGACTAAAAAGGGGTGACTCAGAGCTCGGGGTGCACCCAGCATGGTTTCCTGTGTGCACCAAAAATAAAGCAGATGCTTAGACTTTATACATGGTTTCCTACTGAAACTATGAAATTGCAAATCAAATGTGTATCTATTAATGATTCTATATCTAAACTAAATTGTGGTATGTCTTTTCATTCCTCTTTAAAAATCTAAGTAACAGTTAAAGTAATGATAGTACCTAACTCTACATACATGGGAATACCTGACAGGGTGCGAAAACGTCTTTCATTGCTAGCTAATTAAGTCAGCTACCAGCACAGGGCTGCTGATGGTAACATTCCTCTGAGGGAAGCTTCTGCCAACACCAAGAAGCAGAGAGGTTTCCCTAACTGCATTCTAATTACGTCTCTCTACAGGTAACTCGTTATTTTCAAAATTCACAACTGTGAGATCTCCGGAGCATGTCTAAGATTTGGAAACAAAGTTATTTTAGACCACTACTTTTACTTGTAATTACAAGGGCAGATAATAGGAATCTAACCATTAATCATCAAATCTGACAAGGGTCACTTTTATTACCCTATTTCCCTTTTTCAAAGGGCCTCTTTCCCCCATGGACATACCTATTTATAGTAATTCCTACATTTGAGAATCTTAAAGAAGAAAAGCAGCTACTTTTCTGGGAGCCTGGGCCAGACACCAAGATGGACACACCACCACATGCGCCTCATCCCCATGTCACTCCACTCCTCGCCTTCCTGTAAATGGCACACATCTCCACTTGCTGCATCCTTTCCTTCTGTCTGACCACAGCCATGCCTCCCTTGAGACCACTTCTTTCACTCGTCACGGCATCCCTAGCCTGTGGTTTAATGCTTGGTGCATAGTAGGCCCTTAATCAATATTTGCTGAGCAAGCAAACATCTGCCAACACACGTTATACGCCAGGCCCATACCATGTGCTGGGAGGCCAGTGTGAAGAATGCCATTCTCTGAAACGGAAACTAAGCAAAATTAGAACAAACATGTAAGACTGGTCATTTCACTAAAATATTATTTTTAATCTCCCTGCAAGTAAATTAATGCCAACTGAAATGTAAACTAATTAATTATAAAAGTCTTGAAGTAATGTTGAAATAACAGAACAGGTCATCTATCTCTCTATATTCCTGGAGGTGAGCTGTCTGGCAATCCCTGTATGCAATCCTGTTGCAGATGCTCTCCAAGTCCTTTCTTCACACACACACCCCCCACCCTGCTCTCTGTAGTTTCGCTACATTAAGACCCCAGCTCTCTTCCACAGCAACCCTGGAAGCCACGTGCTCCAGACGGCATAGCAATGAGATGGATGCAGCCTAGGTTCCTACGTCATGATTTGGAGAAGCGCTGCCTGGGAGAGCCATTCAACTTGTATTAGACCATAACGTAGGGAAGAGATAAAATGGTATAGTGTTAGGCCTCAGATTTCATGTTTGTTACTAAAACACTGTCTAGGGGCCGGCCTGGTGGCGCACTGCTACAGTGCGCCGCTTGGGAGCGCGGCGGCGTTCCCGCCGAGGGTTCAGATCCCACGTACAGACCAGTTCCCGCTCACTGGCTGAACGAGGTGCGGGCGCAACACCGAAGGTTGCGATCCCGTTGCCGGTCCTGGTCCGGTACGGGCGTGACACTGAGGGTTGCGATCGTACAGACCAGTTCCCACTCACTGGCTGAGCGAGGTGCGGGCGCAACACCGAAGGTTGCGATCCCGTTGCCGGTCCTGGTCCGGTACGGGCGTGACACTGAGGGTTGCGATCCGTTGCCGGACACGAAAAAAGACAAAAAGGAAAAAAAAAACACTGTCTAAACTATCCTAATCCAAAATTTATCAAAGAAATCTTTTAGAAATTTGTGTTCAAAGAATTTCATAATCACAGCAAATATACCAAGAGTTGCTACTATATCTAGACACTGGAAATTCATACAAAGAGAGAGAGGTATCTTAGGAAGGTTCTGCCTATATAAATATATATATTTGTTGGAGTCTTTGAGTTTGAGACACGTGTGTCTAATGAAAATAGACACATGAATAGGCAAGTGGTCAAAACTCCCAAAAGTTTATATATTCCATTACAGGGATGTTCATTATCAAGAAACCAAGGATCCTAGTCACTGAAAAAGCTACTTACCAAGATTCCTTATTGCCTAGAAAAGTTATTTCCTAAGAAGAGTAATGACTTCTCATTTTTTGGAAAATAATTTGAATCCCTTACTTTAAAGAAAGAACCATATGCTTTCTTTGGGGTGATCCTGGTCAGGAAAGTTCGGGGGTGTGCTAATCAAGCAAAATAATTGTTCAGAATGAGATAACATGGATAACAGAGTCTTGGGCAACTACTAGGAAAGAGATACATTGGACCACAAAGGAAACCATGTATGCTACATACATGAGTTAAAAATCATTCACTTCCTGAATCACTGTGTAGTATATGCATGTATTGAAAAACATACTGTATCCCACAGATACGTACAAGTAAAATTTTTTTAATCATTCACTTCCTTGTAAAAAATACTCAAACTAGCAGTCTCTAGAAGTCCTTTCTAGTTCTAAAATCTACATTCTCTGAGCCCTCAGTCCATCTCTAATTAGAAAATTGAGTGAGTTGCTGAGAGAGAAGAAGCTCTTCTGAAGGGACCTAGAGGTCAACAGGGCATTCGTTCCCCAGCAGAGCAAGGTAAAAGTCTTCACGAATAGTAGCAAGCACCATGGCTTAACAAATGGACAACCATATGATTTATCATCCAAATCAGCACATTGCTGGGAGTGAAAAGAGGCATATTAATAATTATGCCAGAGCAAGAGACATACATAAACCAGGAAGAACTGTCCTGGAAAAAATGGGACATGTGGCTACCCTAAATAAAGGGCAAATTTAAGGTATACATGTCAAGTTCTACCTGGAAGGGAAGGTTCGTCTACAAGGTGAAAAATATTCAAAAGCTGAGATGCTACTAAGCAAGCAGTCTGTGAGTATGTCTCCTTCTCCAGTTGTTTTTGGGCTCTGTGATTGTTTCACATGGCTACTGTTTTAGGAAGGCCTTGAGAAGGCATCTTGGGATCCCGCTCTCAGTGCATGACATCAGTAGGTAGATCTGGGGGCGAGGAGTCAGCGGTCCAAGATGTGGCAGTCAGGAAACTATTCCCCACGTTCACTGCAATTCACTGGATGTGCAAATCTTGACCAGCCACACTCCTGCCACATAATGTCTTTGTTCTTAAGTAAACGGTAGCAAAAATATCCTAATTCAACTCTAAGTAGTAAAACATGTAAGTTACTTCCATATGTGTTCAAGTTGGGACTGGAACAGAAGTCAAACAAAAAGTGAAAATATTAAATGATATCTAGAAAAGGAATGCCACCCATGCCCATTTTCGTAATGCAAATTCAGTCACCTAATCATCATCTGCCTGACAGTGACTAACTTCTCAGTATTGGGAACCTTCATCACACACACACGGCCCCTGATAGATTCATCCAGGAAGTCTCCTGCCACCCCTCCCCACTAGGTCTCACATTCATTCATTCAATAACAACCATGCTGGTCACTGTGGAGTTCCTCAGCTTCATGTGGCCTCGAGCATAACAACACTGCACAATGAAGCACCATGCCCACTCCCTCTTTCCACCAGAAACCTCTCTCTTTTTTCCCTTTTATACACATAAGATATTTTTAACTCATTAGATAATTACTATAACTGGTAATGAAGATAAACATTGAATTTAATTTCAATATGTTCACATAAGCATAAGCTTATAACCTATCATTACGCTTCTGTCCCTGTATTTCTTTTCTTTATGAAAAGAAGACTTAAAAAGTAAAACAATTTTTCAATCACTCCTTTTCTTAAGTTTTAAGAATTTCAATATGTTCACATAAGCATAAGCTTATAACCTATCATTACGCTTCTGTCCCTGTATTTCTTTTCTTTTTGAAAAGAAGACTTAAAAAGTAAAACAATTTTTCAATCACTCCTTTTCTTAAGTTTTAAGAAAAAGTTAGACTCATACCACCTAAAATAGTTTTTATGTCAAAAATTGTTACAGCTAGAAAATATATACTCCTTAGAGTGTAAACAACACAATGAGACTTTTAAGCAGTGTTAAAAGATTGTAGACGTGGAGGCTGGGACTTAAGAGTGTAGCAATAAGATGTTAAGTGGGTGACTATAATTATAGGTTGAATAGAGGCTTTGTGTTAAGTCAAACAAAGATGGGAAGCTAGGCAAGGGCTGGGAGTGTGGGCATATTCCTAGGAACAGAGCTACAGGCAGAGAACATTCCTAGCATGAGCAGGATGTAGGGAGTTAAGCTTCTTTGGGGTCACAACGAGAATTTAATAAGTTTCTGAACCACATGAGAGACTTAAGCAGAAATTTCAATGTGTAGGCTCTCCTGCACGTCAGGTGATGGTCCCATGTGCCATAATACAGTTTAGAAAACTATAGTATAATGAGGACAAGAAACACAGGCAGGACTGCAAGTTAATAGCAGAGTGGAGAAAGAAGAGGTTAGGAGAGAAATAAGGGATGAACTTGAGGTGATATAAAAGCTGAGAACTCCCACTCAGCTGGCTTGATCAGCCAATAAGAGCCAACTAAGAGTTCCCTTCTGAGGAGGTGGCATCAGTAGAAAAATCTTTAACTAAATAAAAATGAAAGATGTTTAATATCACTTCCCCAACTTAAAGCTAGACCATGAAGTGGCTAATACATTCCTAGTTGTGACAACTAGTGTCTATGCAAACATACCAGTAATTTTGAGATTCCTCTATGATAGAATCATGGTTCCTTTCACAATTTAGTTTTACTCCCATATGTCACAAAACAAAAAACAAATTTCAAAAACAGGGAAAAATGAACCCAAATAAAAATGGCATATCTTTTGAACAGTTACGCATAACTGAAATGCTTTGATGCACAAATCTCAAAGCTAATACTGAATATTATAGTGTGCTGAACATTGCTAATCCAGGTTCTCTTCTG